AATCCTGCCAGTTTATCTGCTTACCTTTTGAACAGGCTCCAGCTATGAACTCTCTTAGCCACTCGATCACTTCTAATCCTTCCAGCAATATTGTACCCTTTTTCGCTTCCCTTACCTTCAGGCTTACCTTCCCCTTGATTCTCATCTCTTCGAACAGGATTTTTTTTTGCTTCTATCTTCAAGGATCTCCTCCACTGACCTGTCTGCACGAACTCCATTTCTCTAACGAACTCACCTCTGGAAGGTTTTCTTCCCATCAACCCAACTTCTTCAGAGAAACGTTCACCTTCCCATCAACCCAACCATTTCCTTCCCATCTTCTGACTATAGATTCAATCATGTATTCATACCTGATAAGTTGAGAGGGTGGGACGATGGTATCAATTGATTTCATTGAGCATGCCAATGTGGTTCTGTGTGCAGGACCTGTATCATGTCCATATTAATTGGTTCCATAGGTGCTGGAGATAACAGAATGTTATGAACTTTTACTTGCTTGGTAAAGCCTTTTCATATCAATGGCATTGTATTTCTGTCTTTCATTTTTTTTTTATAAACGAATAGTAGTTTTATTAAAGAGAGGAAAAAAGTGTACAAACACCCTAGGAGGAGGTGTGAGCTGCTACCTCCCCTTAGGGATGAGTACAAAACCAATCTCTTATCAGAATGCAATTTATAAGGTAGCCCAATTTATAAGGTATTTCTGTCTTTTATTCTTTGTATGTCTACCCTACTTACCTCATTGAAAAGGGAAACTGTATCCTAATTGATAGAATAACCCTTTTTCATTTCATTCTGTTAAGCAAAAACTCTGCTTATTCTCTAATCTGATTTGTCATTTTCTTTCTAGGTTTTGTATACTCCCCAGGTTTAATTCTTTTAGGAAAATTTGTGTAATAGTTCTAATCTATCTGAGGACTTTATTATTTATTTTTATATATAGATTATTTTTATCCTGCATTGTGTTTTTACAAAATTTTGCAGATTAGGAGTTTTTCTTCAATGTTAATGTGTATCCTTAATGCTGTGTTGGTAGGTTGAGAATGAACTGCCTGAGAAGATTGAAAGACTTGTAAGATGTGAAGCTTCTGCTTATCAAAAGCTATTGATGAAGAGAGTAGAAGATAATCTTGGTTCAATTGGAAATTCAAAGGTTATTCCACTATTTCTTTCTTTTTTATTCTATTTTTCATTCATGGAGCACTATTCAAGTTTGTAACTGTTTTCATTTGTTACTCCTTTACTAAACCTATTAACAATTTTATTTAGGGCCGATCGGTGCACAACTCTGTGATGGAATTACGTAATATATGCAATCATCCGTATCTCAGCCAACTTCATGCAGACGAGGCATGCTATTTTCTTGTTCTTCACTGAATTTTATTTCCCTGATGTGTTAGCTTTGATATTTCTGACTCTTGCCTCTTTTCATATGCATCTTACAGTCTGATCATCTTTTGTAGGTTGATAGTTTTATACCTAAGCATTATCTTCCACCAATTGTTAGACTTTGTGGAAAGCTTGAAATGTTGGATCGATTGCTACCCAAGCTAAAAGCAACTGATCACCGGGTATGCAAAAAATGTTCACATATAGTATTAGGTTGTTGCAATATTTGAAGCAATAGTTTTGTCATTTCCTTTATTTGAATCCTCTCTTTTCCATTGTTGTGGCATTTATTTTTTTTGAAGGTAAAATAAAAACCAAGCATGTTATTAAAAGAAAAAAAGGAATACAAAAGGTGTTATGAAATCACCCAATAACGGAACTGCAAAAAACGATCACTCAAAACCACCAGAAGCCAGCACCAAACAGAAGCCAACACCAAGCAACTCACTAACTCCACCCCCACCGAGGGCATAGAAGGTGATACAAAAAGAAAGACAAAAGTACAAAACCACCTCCAAAAAATGCTCCACCACCCAACTCAGAATCCACTTTGCCAATACACAACTTACCCTGCTGCAAACCTTTTGATATCCTTTCAATTTTTCTTCACCTTCTTGTTTGGTGCAATACAAAATGGATCCCATTTCTATCTGTCAAAATCCTTCAAGCCTTGAACAATTCTTTGATTTTTTATTGTCTTTTAAATTGCTTAGCTGCATTTGGGACCTCTTCCACTTCTGTTCTGCCTTTAACAACACTCTTATCCTTATCCAGCTTCTCACTATGTAGGTTTTTTAATGGAAGCAACATCCTCGAGTGTTTTATACTTTATCTCCACCCTACTGGTCAACCCTTACAAACGTATCTGATTTCTGAGAAAGTTGGGCACCTCCATTCACATGTTTTTTTTTTTCTTGGAAACTATGTCACCAAAATTCTCTGTTTTTTTGAGGAAAGTTTAACCAAATTTTATTAAAAGAAGAAAAGAGTACATGAGATGTACTACACAGGGAAACCCCCCCGAAAAGCTTACAAGGGGGGAAGCCTATTGCTATACAGATTTTATAATCCTGCTCCAATTTTAGCTAATCCATCTGCAATGTGATTTAGCTCCCTCGGGATCCAAAACAAGTTTGCATTTAAATATTCCAAGGAATCTCTTGCCTCTGCCAAGCAATGACTCAACCTCCAAGGACCCCCCTCCTTGTCCTTCAGCCTTTTATGATGTTTGCTGAATCTCCTACAATAGATAAATTCTGAATACCCTAGCTTTTTACTATTCTGATTTCAGTGAGAGCAGTCATCACTTCATCCTTAGTTGAGTCAGCATAGTCGATTGGGCCACTAAAGATCCAGCAGATACTACCCAATTCATCCCTCAAGATGCCTCCAATTCCAGCCAAACCAGGATTGCCTGCAGCACTTCCATCGAAGTTTAAAGTCATCCCTCCTTCATTAAAAAGTATAGGCTGTCTCTGGATGGTTTAAGGGAAGTTTGGAAGGAAGAGAATTGCTTGAATATTTCTGTTAAGGTCATTGGTTGAGAGGTCTTGAAGTTAGGGCTGTTCATAAGAATGCCCAACCTGACCAAACCGACCAACCCGGACCGACCCAACCCGAGTCGGCCGGGTTTTCATCAGTACCGGTCGATTTCGGGTTGGGAAAATATATAAACCGATATATTGGGTCAGTTTCGGTTTTCTTGTGTGAAAACCGAAACCAACCCAACCTGAACCGAACTAGTAGACTAGTTCGGTAGTTCCTAGTTTGAGTAGTTTCCTACTTAACTATAACTAGTCTTCTACTAGAACTAGAAGGCCCATTAGGCAATTACAATTAGAATAGGCAATCTATCATAGTTTCTAACTTTCTATAATCTTTTACACCAAATAGGCAACCCATTAGACAATTACAATTAGAATTCAATTAGGTGTCCTTTTGTACAGGAGAAAAACCAAAACCGACCCAACCCGACTCAAACCGACCAGGTCAGTTTGGCCTATCAGTGGGTCGGTTTCGGTTTCCACGTCAGGTAACCCGACCAGGTCGGGTCGGTTGGGAAAACCCCAATAAACCGACCCAACCCGACCCGTGAACACCCCTGCTTGAAGTGATGGATACTACCTTTTTCCAACTCTCTTTCTTGCAAACTCCTTTCCTCCCAAAAAGAATAAACCCATCTTCAACTTCGGTTTCCATCACTTCAATGGATTGTAGGGACAGCGGGGTTAAAAATGTTGATTTTAAGATTGACCTGGGAGTTTGGGCTTGAAGGTGTAGGGACATTTTGGGCTACTCCTAGCCCTTGTTAACAGAGTATTTTAGAGCAAAAAAAGGAAGGCTCAGGAATTTGAAATGATTTTGGTCCAAGAAGAAAATAGTTGGAGATTCAAGGAGGTAGCAAACTATTAATTGTATCTTGACAAACTAGTATTGATATTTGTGTTGATTTATTCTGAATGCCAAATTGCCATCTGTTCAGTTCCTTGAGATTATTCAACTCAGTGCCAACATTGTCAAAATATTGGTTCTCATGTGTTTTGAAATGCTATTTCAAACACTTATTATTTTTTCCCCATTTTGTCAAGTTTTTTTCCTGATTCTTGTACTATTACATAGTTTATTGGTCTCCATTTGTTTGGGTGAGCCATTCAGTGTTATCTTGGACCGATTATTCTGCAGGTTCTCTTTTTCTCTACAATGACAAGACTGCTTGATGTAATGGAAGAATATCTCCACTGGAAGCGTTACAAGTATCTTCGGTTAGATGGACATACTTCAGGAAATGAACGTGGAGCTCTTATTGAAGAGTTCAACCGACCTGATTCTCCTGCTTTTATATTTTTGCTCAGGTGATTTTTTTTTTTTTTTGCTTTTGGTCCTGGGTGTTTGATAGAGATAAAAATCTTTATTTGTTTTTGTCCTGTTTCAATTCTATCGTAATGTATAAAGTGTGTGCTATATTTTATATTTCTAGATACTAACCTTTCTATCTGTGGTGTTAGTATTCGAGCTGGGGGTGTTGGAGTGAATCTCCAAGCTGCTGATACTGTTATCATTTTCGACACTGATTGGAATCCACAGGCAATATGCAAAAGACATTTCTCCTTTGAATTATTAGTTAGTTGGTGTCCATTTTAGCTTCATTTTAAGCTTGATGGCTTCTTGATGGTTCTCTCCAGGTTGACCTGCAAGCTCAGGCAAGGGCTCATAGGATTGGTCAGAAGAGGGATGTACTTGTTCTGCGGCTAGAGACGGTAACTGTTGGTTTATTTTTCAAGTCTACTGATTTTATTGGTTTTGGAGATAGGATACATGATGCCATGGCAAGAAACTGGTATTTTTTGCTTCAGATGTTTCTGCCTGTATTCCTTTCATCATTTTTGAGTGTTGTCTTTGTTTTATATTTCAGAGTTTGCTTTCTTCGATTGACAGGTTCTTTACAATGAATCATTTGTGGCACAATTTTACAAATGATATGGTCACCTAGTCTAATATCATATTTCATAGGGATCTCTCGTATGGTCATTTAGACTAATGTCCTATTCATAGGGAGCTCTACCCTGATCCTGTTATTTTATATTTTCCCCTACGTCATCAAGTGGATATCCATCAGTCAACCAAGATTGAGGAGATTAATTGCATTTTCTGGTTAATTTTCCCCATTGTTACTTTTTCATAATCCTCCTCAAAGTTGTTATCATACTTGTTAAGTGAAGTTATACTTCGGCTCTTTTTTTTTTTATCACTAAGAAGAAATATTTTATTAAAATAATGAAAAGAAGAGTATCTTTGGAGTAGCCTTGGCTACCCACCCCAAATCCTTAGTTTATACAATAAGTTTACAACAAAATCCAAACTATGAGAGAATAGCCCCTGTTAACCTCTTGCTTGGCTAGATCAGCCAAGCTATTTGCTGATCTTGGTACCCATTGAATTGTCACTTGCATGTCTCTTGAGAATCATCTGAATCTTTTAATACCATTGCTGAAAATCCATGGTGCACTTTCAGCCTGCAGTAACCAGCTTATAACAACCTTGGAATGTCCTTCAATTACAAGTTTCCTCACCCTCATCTCCATTGCTTTCCACACCCCAAATTTTGCAGCCATTATTTCTGCCCTTATTGAGTTCCCTTCTCCTATTGGCTCCGAAAACATATCTCGTGTTAACACTTTTTTCATCTCTTATCACCACTCCAACTCCTGAGGGAGCTGGGAAGCCAAAGAAGCATTTTCAGGAGGGTTCCAAATTTTAATTCCTTTGGCTCTTTTTGCCTGATACATCTGAAAGCCCTAGGACAGGACACACCTTGTTTTCAGTTTATCCATGCTGTCAAATTCTCCAAGACACCCACCGTTCTGTTTGTTAGTTCTCCTAAACCCTCCCAAGTTGAAGTTTTTCTCTTTTAAAAGAAAAAATGTTGTCTTACACAACATGTCATATTTTCACTATTATATCTATAGTAGTAGGTTTTGTATCCCTATTGGGCTGGATCAAGGTACACCAGTAACTACCCAGTTACTATTGGGTCTCACAAATTGGACTCATTATCAACCTGTTTGAACTAGGACCTCTTCCAGCCCCCCTAAGTAGTAGGGTTGGAATTCGTTGGGTCTGTCAGGTCAACCTGGCTCATTGACAGATTTGGCACAGATAGGAATAGGAAAACCTTCTTTATTGTGAAGTTTCTCAATGGATTAAGTTTACTATTTTATAATTGATATTTCAGATTATTTTTTCTTAAAGCTATTGCAAGGGGCTGGCTACTTCAATAAATGTATGAAGAGGCCTCTCTGTGTAATGGGCAGGTTATGACTATGGCTAACCCCTTGGTCGTTGGGTGGTATTTTTTTGAAGCAAAAAAAAAATTGAAATATGGGTTAGATACATGGAGCACAAGGGAATCTGATAGAGAAAGAACTGAGATGATATTGAAGATAATAAGGATATATTGGATATGATTTCTGTGTTGTTCTTTTTGTCAATTTTAGAAACTAGATGTAAAACATCATTGCCAAACACGATTTTTGTGTAATGTTAATTATTATATTATATTTGCTGTTTTAAGGTTCGGACTGTAGAAGAACAAGTTAGAGCTGCAGCTGAGCACAAACTGGGAGTTGCTAATCAGAGCATTACCGCTGGTTTTTTTGACAACAATACTAGGTATTATTGCTGTCCTTGCTAGCCCATAAAACATGCCTCATGAATTTGTGAAGAAGGCCAAAAATTTCTCTCTAGTTTTTGATGAAGATTTCTTTTTTTAATCTCCAGTGCAGAGGATCGAAGGGAATATTTGGAGTCCCTCCTAAGGGAGTGCAAGAAAGAAGAGGTTGCCCCAGTTTTAGATGATGATGCTCTCAATGACCTTTTAGCACGCAGGTAAATCTGATATTTGATTTCTATCTATTATCCATCTTTTATTTATTTATTTTTGATCAGAAAAAGGATTTTGTTAATAAGGAAGAAGTGATAATGAAGATACTTAGTTGGAATGTGAGGGGTATAGGAAGTGCAAGGAAAAGAGCAACGATTAAAGAGGTGATAAAGAGGTTTGACCCAGACATTGTACTAATACAGGAGTCCAAGAGAATGGAGTTTGACAATAGATGGGCAAAGAGTGTATGGAAAGCCAGGGGGATTAGTTGGGTGTCTGCTCCCTCATGGGGAGCTTCAGGGGGATAGTGACAATGTGGAAGAGGGATGTGATTGAAGGATTGGAGGAACTGATCGGAAAATACTCAGTCTCCCTGAAGTTTAAGCAGCAAGAGGATCATTATGTGTGGGTGCTAACACAATGTTTATGGACCAAATGATTACAGAGAGAGACGAGAATTGTGGGAGCAACTGGCTGATATCAGAGGGCTATGGGAGGAGCATTGGTGTGTGGGTGGGGACTTCAATGTGATTAGATTCATAGAGGAAATCAATAATACTAATCAGAGGGTGACAACTAGTATGAGGAAGTTTAACTGGTTTGTTGATGCCTTTGAACTCAAATAGATACCCTTAGTCCACAAGACATTCACTTGGTCCATTCAAGGAGGGGCTGCAGCTCGCGCCTCTCGTTGGGATGATGTATGAACTCACTCTAATTTGCTTATGAATTGATAAACTTATTATTATTCATCAAAAAAAGACATTCACTTGGTCCAATCTCCAATCGAGTCCCATATGCTCTAAGCTGGATCGGTTTCTGTTCTCTTTGGATTGGGAAGACCATTGGGGGAACTTAGCCTCTAGAGCTCTTCCTAGATTGACCTTTGACCATTGGCCCATAGTGATCTGGAAGGAGGATAGGAGGAGTGGAGGACCTACCCCTTTTAGGTTTGAAATTATGTGGTTACTCCATCCTTGGTTTATTAAGGGAGTAAGGGAGTGGTGGAATGAGAAGGTATGAGGTTCCATAAGAAACTACAATTTTTGAAAGCTAAGCTTTAGGAGTGGAATCAATTGGAGTTTGGAAGGTTAGAAGAAAGAAAGAGAACCTTGATGGACCAACTTGAGCTCCTTAACTTGAAAGAAGAAAGGGGAGAATTTGGAGAGGCAAACAAGGAACAAGGAAGAGGTTTGAGAATACAACTAGAGGATTGTCTACATAAGGAGGAAATAAGCTGGAGGCAAAAATCTTGATGTAAATGGATGCAAGAGGGAGATAGAAATACTAAGTTTTTTCATTCTATGGCAAATGGGAGGAGTAGGAGAAAGTTTATTTCTAGACTGGAAGTGGATGGAGTAGCTCTAACACAATAGGGCACTTTAAGTCCATCTTAAGGCCTTTAAGTAGGGGGTGTGGTTAGAAGGATTGTATTGGCTAGATGTAGGGGTAGACAACAGTCAGAGATTGGAAAGAAGGTTTGAATTGGAAGAGATTAAGGAGGCTGTGTTTTCTATGGACAAAACAAAAGCTCCAGGCCTAGATGGTTTTACAATGGCTTTTTACCAAGACTGCTGGGATATTTTGGAAGGGAACCTCCTGCTAGTGTTGAGGAATTTCATAGGAGAGGAGTTGTTAACCCGGGAATGAATTCCACCTTCTTAGCTTTGGTTCCAATAAAGAAAGATGCATTCCATCCAAAGGATTTCATGCCAATCAGATTGGTAAATAGCTTGTATAAGATTTTAGCAAAGGTTTTGCCTTTGAGATTGAAGGAAGTACTGCTAGTAATCATTACACCAAATCAGGGAGCTTTTGTGAGTGGAAGACAAATTACTGATCAAATCCTAATTGCCAATGAAAATGTGGAGAACTTCATGAAGGATAGAAAGAAGGGAGTGGTATGTAAGTTGGATTTGGAAAAGGCTTATGACTTGGTGGACTAGTCTTTCTTGCTGAAAGTTATGACCAAATTTGGGTTTGGGGCTAGATGGTGCTAATGGATTATGGGGTGTGTTCGGAATTGTCATTATTTTGTGCTAGTGAATGGGACAATAGTAGATTTCTTTCCAACTATTAGGGGCATAAGACAGGGGGACTCCCTATCTCCCTTTTTGTTCACTCTGGTTGTTGATGTTCTGGGGAGATTGATTCACAGAGCGAATTCTAGAGGCCTCTTAAGTGGATGGAGACTTGGAAGGGAGGAAACCCCCCTTACCCACTTATAGTTTGCAGATGACATGATTTTGTTTTGTGAAGGAGGAAATTTGAGGTACATCAGGAACATGAAATTGGTGATATAACTCTTTGAACAAATTGAAGGGATGAGAGATCCATCATATGGATGGCCGAACCCTGCAGGAAGGTTGGGTGAAATTTCAAAAAATTATTTTCTCCCATCCGGGAATCACATTCCCTAATTTAGAAAACTGCATTTTCAAGGTTCGTTCTTGAATCCAAAATTAGAACAGATCAATAGGAGGTGAGGGATATACCTGATACGAAGTAGCAGTAACTCCCAACGCTGGTGTTCACGCCCGAAGAAAAGACCAAAACCCGCTTCTACTGAAGATGACACAGTGTGTAGTGAAGCAGGTTCAACAGGATGGTTCTTCAGCAAGAATCGAGCAAGGGTTGGTGAGCACTACTTCGGATTGTTTCTTCTAACAAGAAACAATATCAAGAACCTTTCTTGATCAGAACCACTAGTGGAGATCGAATTGGGTATGGGCGGCAATAATTGGAAAGAATTCTACAGTTTGCTGTTGTGTGTTTAATTTGAAGAATTCGCCCCCTATTTATAGCCTTCTCTGGATCAGCCTCCTAATCTAATTAGGAGAGAGTTTCCTAATCCAAATCTTATATTTGGATCTGGACTCTTAAATGGATAAGACTTATCTTATCCTTCAGCTAATCCTAATCAGTTCAGAACTGAATTCGCCCCCTTTTAATTAACTAACTTAAGCCCAATTCGAATTGGGCCTTAGGCCCATTAAGCTTATGTGCTCACTTACTCTTTAACCTGTTGCCCAGTTGGCTCTCTTTGTATGGCGTGGGACCCTAACATTGATCTACACATAAGCCACATGGGTTCAGCCCAACCTTTGTTACAAAGCCTGGCTGAATTCACTGTAGGAGACAGTGAACCCTTGAGTCCATCACCATTGGCTCTTAATGGGCCCAACATTTACACTAAATGGTTTTTGGATCTAACCCCCTTATTAAAACCCAAGAACTATTGGCAGATGCAAGATTAATCTATCAGGTATTATCCTCAATGGTCTTATACTTAACCTCTCAGCCCATAATGATCAAACACTGCCCGACAAGAGAGGACCTCTCCCTCGGCTACAAGGTACAGTGCTGCATTCTCTACTCACATTTGAAATCAACTGCCGGCAGTTTAGTTTCCATAAGAGAGAGTGCATTCCCCGATCATTCACTTTGTCCGACAAAGGGGCTGATCCTGTCATTATGATCACCCACTCAGGTGAATTCTCGGACTGTCCCAACATCCCCAGGTTTTGATCCCCTCTAAGGATTTCACTGATTGGCATAATAAAGACAACCCAATCCGGCACCTAGTGTAGTACCATAATCGAGTCTAGGGGTCAGGTGCATATTCTAGTTTTGCCCATCTATCTCCAAGGTCCAGGGCAATACTGGAATTCGGTCCGGTTCAGGGTTTCAAGAAAAACCCACACTGCATGTACCTCAGGTCTCACCCTGGCAGCTGAGACAAGCCACCCCAACCAAGTTGGTGACACATCAGTGTCAGCCTTGGCAGGATAAATCTCCCAGATCTATTCAACGGCTATGAAGATTCTAAACTAACACGAGTCTCATAAGTGTCCAGTTTAAGGGTATTACACAAAAACAGACCACAATGACATAAATCAATTATGTACTTTATTCATTTACAATAAATATCAAAAGATACATCAATCTGATTGGAGCTAAGGACATAACTGTCTAACACAAATATCCAATCTAAAGGTGAATTTTGAGAAAAATTGTGTAGTAGGTGTGAATTTGGAGGAGGGAGAGATTAGGGAGAATGCAAAATTGCTGGATTGTGAAGTCTTAGGGTGGCCATTGAATTATTTAGGGTTGCCATTGGGTGATAACCCAAAGAAAGAGATTTTCTGGAATTTGATGGTAGAAAGATTTGAAAAGAGACTTGTCTCTTGGAAAAAGAATTACCTTTCCCTTGGAGGGAGGATTACATTGATTAGGGCTACTCTAGCCAGCTAACCCATTTATTTCCTATCAATGTTCAAAATCCCAACTGAGGTATCTAACAGATTGAAGAAGATGATGAGAGATTTTCTTTGGGAGCTAGGAGAGGAGAAGAGGGACCGTAGGGTGAGCTGGGAGGTGGTGACCAGGAGCAAAAACCTAGGTGGTTTGGGGCTTGGGAACATTAGAAAAAGGAATTTGGCACTTTTGGAGAAATGGTCGTGGAGGTTTCCACTAGGGAAGGATAAGCATTGGGCTAAAGTAGTGGTAAGCATACATGGGCTAGAGCAAAATGGATGGGATGTTGGAATCCGAGCTAGGACTACAAGCGTGTCACCTTGGAAAGCCATTCATGATATGCTACCAGTCTTCGCCCCTCTTGTCAGGTATGATTTGAATTCAGGTAACTCCATAAAATTTTGGGAACAAACTTGGGTGGGGAATGCCCCTCTAAAGGACCGTTTCCTTCCTTGTATGCCCTATCTGACTTGAAAAATGAGCCAGTTTCTATTTCATTACCCCTTCCTCTTCCAATTCTGGGTTTGGGTGGAATTTGGGCTTGAGGAGGGCTGTGAGAGACTTAGACCTTGACAGTATTTCGAGTCTCCTTGGACTTCTTGATAATGTTTTCTTAGACCTTGCTAAGTTGGACTCTAGAATCTGGATCCCCACCCCCACTGGCCCATTCTCCTGTGCCTCTTTGTTCAAAGTCTTAAGCCAGTTCTCTAGTCCTGTAGCCCTCCTCTTCCCTGTTAATGAGGTTTGGTGCAGACCAATTCCTCCTAGGGTTCGTAGTTTTTGCTGGGAGGTGTTTCTGGAAAGAATGAATATTGGTGATCTGCTCCAAAAGAAGAGACCCAAGACATGTTTATCCCCTCACAGGTGTGCTCTTTGTAAAGTGGATGGGGAGACTGGTTTTCACCTATTGGTGTCATGCCAGTTTGCAAAGTCTTTTTTTTTTTTGATAGGAAACAATAACTTTCATTAGATAAAACCAGAGGAACAACTGTCACCTAAGTAAAAGGTGACCCCTGTATAACAAATAACTTACAACACTACACAAAACAAAACCTCTCGATTCACCCCTTGTTTTGCTAGGTTGTCAGCTAAAGCATTTGCTGACCTCCTAGACCAATACACTTGTGCATCCAGTTCCCTTGTGAGGCTCAATAATTCCCTTACATGTTGTCTAAGGGGCCATGTTCCCAAACTATTTGATTGCAGCCAACCTACTACTAATTTGGAATCCTCCTCCACTTCTAACTGTTGAAAACCCAATTGCTTGGCCCATCTGAGCCCCTGGAGGAGAGCCAATACTTCAGCTCTAAGCGAGTCCCTCAAACCTATTGGACCAGAATACAAAGCTAGGATTTTTCCTTCCGCATCTCTAAACACACTCCATATTCCGGAAGGTCTGGGGTTCCCAATAGAGCTGCCATCAAAATTCAGTTTGACATTACTCTGCATAGGAGGGGACCAAACTGCTTGTATCGTAGGTGATGAAGTAGAGACATCCTTGAACAGTTTACAAAGTCTATTTGGGAGTGGGCTTTCTCCCTCTTTGGGTGTAGTTGGAATCTTCCATCAAACTTGCAAAGTCTTTTTTCCCTTCTTTCTTCAGGTGGCATATGAAAAGGGGAAGGACCATGTGGAGATGCCTGAGGGCTGTGGTATGCTGGTCTTTATGGGAAGAAAGAAACTCTCCAGGCTATTCTTTGAAGTAGAGAGAGGTGCTGAAGAACTGAGAGAACTGATCCTTATAAGGGTTGTACAATGGCTGAAGTCTTCAGAGCTGTTCACAGATTACACAGTGGATGATATGTTGAAGAAATGGGGTGAGATTGATAATTGCACCCAGACTAAAACAGTAATGAGTGTGTCTTGGAACCCCCCCATGTGAAGGGTGGATTCTACATCCCATGTGAAAATGACATGGATGCTTCTGCATACTCCACTTTGCAGAACTTATATTTGTTTTCCATTATTTTTACTTTTATTTTTGTATATTCAGTCTATTGAATTTGTTGTACTCTTTTCTTCATTGGCAGTGAGTCCGAACTGGATGTTTTTGAATCAGTTGACAGACAAAGGCGGGAAGAAGAGATGGTATGTACTTGTTTGTCCACATAATTTTTTCTTCCTTTCTTCAGATGCAATGGTAGGCCAGGACTTTTATTGTTTTCCTGTAGAGTTATGTTATAGTGAATGAATTCTGCAGGCAGCATGGAAGAATTTGGTGCAGGAACAGGATAAAGATTGTTCTGAATCTTTACCCCCCATGCCTCCACGTCTGGTCACAGATGATGACTTACTGACATTCTATAAAGCTATGCAGATATTTGATGCATCTAATGTACCAGCAAAGCGGAAAAGTGAATATCTTGGTGGGCTTGATACCCAACAGTATGGCAGGGGCAAACGGGCCAGAGAGGTTTGTAGATTATGCTATATTCTTATATGTAAAGCAAGTCTTTATGTGATAACCTGTTTCATTAATATGTTTACCTTTTCTAAGATAGTTTCTTTCCATTGTATAGGTACGCTCCTATGAGGACCAGTGGACAGAAGAAGAATTTGAAAAGATGTGTCAGGTGGATTCTCCTGAATCCCCCAAACCCAAGGAAGAAATAATTGAAGGGAATGTGGCAACAGAAACCAGTGGATCTAAAGCAGTCGTAGGGACAACAGAACCACTGACTTCTGTACCACCGCCACCTCCATCCACAGAGCAGCCACAGGTACCAGGTAAAGAGCAACCACCAGCATCCAGACGAGGACGGGGTAGGCCAAAAAGAGCAACAGCAGATATTTCAGTATCTCCAGGGATTGTTTCCACTCCTGAGAGTACAAGCAAACTGAATATGGGACAGAAAACAGTGGTTCCAAGTTCCACTGCCACCCTTACCCCTGATGGTTCGGTTCCATTCTCTACTACCACTGCTATCCCAGATGGTTCAATTTCAAGTTCCACTGTTACCCCTGCTTCTGGTGGTTCAATTCTTAGTTCCACTCCAGCCCCTGTCTGTGATAGTTTTCCTGGTTCTGTTACTGTCAGGAGTCTGAGTGGAACCACACAACCAGGATTAAGCTTAAGCACTGCCCCTGGTTCTTTAATCACTACTCCTATTCCATCTGCTCCCATGCCAATTAAGGGACAAAACAGGAAGACTCAAAGTGGATCAGAAGCACCTCGTCGTAGGGCAAAGAAACAAACTTCTGGATCATCATCAGTTGGCCCTGATATTAGTCCCATTTCAAGAATGCCAAAGGAAACAAGTCTAGCAACAGATAGCTCTCTAACTTCTTTCACACAAGAAAAGCAAAAGGCAGCAAGCAGATCACCTGCAATTACAAATCCACCTGCTGTTGTTGGCCCTGAAACCAACCCAATTTCAAGAATTCCAAAGGATATAAGCATGGTATCTGAAAGTTATCCAAATTCTACTTTTGCCATACCAAATGTTGTAAGTAGACCACCTGGAACGTCGAATACGGCTACTATTGTTAGTTTTGAGGTTAACCCAATCTCAGGATTACAGAAGTTAGTTGAATTGGTTCCAGTTCGAACTACAATTCCGACCTTTGTTCAAGATAAATATACAAGTGTGGTCCCTGGCCTGGACAAAAAGGAAACTGAAAGTAAAGTTGAGAAAAAACCCAATTCTATTGGGGCCACCACTACTACAGCAAGAAAAGATAGCGTGGAACCCAGAAAGAATGATGGCCTGAAGGGCAGCATGTTGTATGCAGGACAAGAGCACAAGGTTGACCAAACATCTGCACCTGTTGTGTCCACATTGGCACAAGATTTGAGGGAAAGGAGGTCCCTTCGTATGGGGTCCATAGATCATCAAAAATCAACTGAAAAACCAGAATCTGCTTCTGCCCTGAGTGTGCAGAAAACTGTACCTGTTTCTGATGCCTCAAAAGTAGCAACTTCAGGTAATATAAGAGGTGATGGAGATAAAACCCTGGGTCATCCTACCGTCAAGCCAGTTGGATTTGCTACAGGCCAAGGCAACATTCACACTGCCAATGCATCAAGTTTGAGCACCCAGGACACAAGGAGAGAAATTCCTTCGATCCCTGCTCCATTGCGTCAAACTAAATCTTCTGCAGAGAAAGATAAGTGCAAATCATCTGTTCCTGCTAAGAGGGGTTCTAGAAAGAAAGACTTAAGTGCTCCCAATAATAAACCAGCTGCTGTTGTGATGAATGATGCTTCAAACATCATTGAGACAATACCGACAGCACATTCAACCTTGGTTGGCCCGTTGGTGGCTGAAAGCAATAGGAGCACTAAGAAAGCCAGCACTGTTAGAGATAAACAGGATATTACTGCAAAGAAAATGCGCAGTGTAGCCCCTGATGTGGCTTGTCAAACCAATTCTCTTGTTGTAGTATCTGATCAAAAGCCAAGTGCAACTGATAAATTGGAACTTTCTTCCCAAACCAGCCAGCAAGTGGGTCCTTCAGTATTGCAGGAGAATATTCCCATGTCCATAGAGAGGAACTCTGCTGCCATAGAAGCCAGTGGACCAGGAAATGTCACCCCTGAGAAAGATAAGATCAGCCCTCCTGATGTCCCAACTGACAAGAGTGCAACCTCAACTGAGAATTCAAATATTTCTGCTCAAGACAAGCAGCTGACTCAGTCAGCAGTAGGGAGGAACTCTTCAGCCAGAGAAGCCAGTGGACCAGGAAATGTCACCCCTGAGCAAGATAAGAAGATTACTCCTCTTGAGGTCCCAACTGACAAGAGTGCAACCTCAACCGAGAAATCAAATATTTCTTCTCAAGACAAGCAGCTGACTCAGTCAGCGGTAGAGAGGAACTCTTCAGCTGGTGAAGCCAGTGGACCAGGAAATGTCACCCCTGAGCAAGATAAGAAGATCAGTCCTCCTGCAGTCGTAACTGACCAGAAGCTAAAATCTACTGAGAAATCAAATATTTCTGCTCAAGACAAGCAGATATCTCGGTCAGCAGAAGATGTGAATGCTGCAAATCCCATATGCAAAAGTGTTGCATGCATAGAATTGAGTGATGTCAAATCTTCATCTGCGTCAGAGGACGGAAGCTTGCCATCCCAAGTTGAGTTCTCTCAAAAGCCAGCAGCATTTGTCTTGCAATCTGGGGAGACCCAATCAAGTGGCATAAATGATGCTGCTTCTGTAAGGGAGGTTGGAATTTGCTCCTCTGAAACTACAATTGTCTTGGGTGGCAAAGATGGGGCTTTGACATTGTCTCCAGTTTCAAACCTGCCAAATGAAAAACTTGAAAACCCATCTGCCGAAATAAATGCTGCAAAAGCAGTACAAGATAAAACAAATGTCCTTGTGATTCTTGAATCAACATGTAAAGATGCTTCTGCACTGTTGGGTGATATGACAGTTAATAACATACCAAAAGAATCTCCACATCTCAAATCGTCTAATGTTGTCCCTGAAGCAATAGTGGAAGGCAAAGTGAGTGAGTATGAAGATCTATCAATTTCTGGGCCTGTTAAAAAATTGACAGATTCAGAAAAGCCTATTGAAAGTAAGTCTCTGGTGGAGGAAAGAGGAGAGATCAATTCTGATCTTGTTACTGAAGGGGTCTCAAATGTTTCTTGTACAGGTGCTTCTAGTGTGAAGATGGGTAAAAATTTGGAGTCAAATGATTCTGATGGTTCTCAACTGACAGAGAACAACGCAAACAATGCAAAATGTGATATTGAAGAGCCTCTTCAATCTGCTGAAACTTCAGCAGCAGGTCTCCAGTTGGCTGAATCTTCATGTCCAGCTGGTCTAATTGCAGTGGAAACACCACTTTCTGAAGTGCTAGTGGGATCCACTGAAACTTGTAACAGAAATGATGCTGAAAATGCCTCTGTGGTGATACAGCCAAACATGCAAGTGGTTTTGGAGGACCAAAATAAGACCGGTAACAAGAATAGTGAGGTGGAGGAGACTGTAATCTCAGATGTTGGCGTTGTTTCTGGATCCAATCTCTCTGAGTCAGTTCTTGTTTCATTTCATAAGAATAGGTCTGCTCCTGGGGTTACTGAATGTGCATCCAAGGAACCAGAAAAAAACCTTGCTGTTGATGAAGTGGTAGTAACTAGGTTAGTGGCTGACATTTGTACAGTTCCAAAGAACTCTGAGAAAACTGAAGTCTGCACAGTACTTGGCCAGAATAAAGTACCAGATCCACCCATGACTGCCTCAACTGCATCTACTGGTGTCCAACTTCCTCAATCATGTGAGCAAATTCCAATTTCTTCTATTGCCCATGGTGTACCAGAGGATTCTGTAGCTTCCATGATCTCAGAGAAAGCAGATGACAATAAGAAACATGAAGGTGCTGCTGCACTTATTGAGGGAAAGAATCCAGATGAACATGATCTTGCCTCCGTTTTTACTGTCCAGGTTCCTCAGCAAATGGAACAGGTCCCAAATCCATGTAATATGGCAAGCTTTGATTCTGGTATTTATTTTCTTTAGCTACCTTTTTTCCATTGCTTTATCTTTTATCTATCTTTCCATATCTTTATTAAATTTATTTAATTCAATTTTTTTTTGAGAACGATAAGTTAAATTTATTGCTGAAAAGAAATAATGATACAGCAGGCCACCTGATTGAGCTCAAAACTAAAGAGCCCATAGACACTGGTGGCACACATATCCAGACAGAACCAAATCACCTAAATACATAATCTGGTCAAGAGAATTTTGGGAGACAGCAAATGAAACCCAAAACCCAGACCTTATTCTGCCAACGGTCAAGTTGATGAGCTCCTCTACAGACCTTGCCTTGGATGTAAATATTCTGCTATTTCTTTCTGTCCATTTGTCCAGATAGTCCACAGAATACAAGCCTGGTCCTGTATCAGGCGATCAGCACACCTCTTGGGTTCAGACTGTCCCTAGTTAGACACTTTCCCAGGGCTGTAGACCAAAATCACCAAACAAAAAACCAATTGTTAGGAGGTACTAAAGGATTCCTGACTAGTTTGCTGGGAAAGGGAGAACTAGTCTGAGATCCCAAAATTCTGCGGGAACAACTAACGGAAAAACCTGTGTTTTCCCTTTTCCATCTCCAATCATCCATCTGGTTCATTCCTATCTGTTGGCCATCCAGGTTTGTGTCAGCCTTAAGAGTTAAGACACTCTCCATCTCCCAATCATGTAAGTTCCTACGAAACCTTGAAGACCAAGTCACTCTATCTGCCTGAACTGAATAAGACTCCAACACCATGGCATCCTTATTTTCCACAAGCAAGTAAAGATGAGGGAATATCTCTTCAAGGGACCTGTCCCCACACCACTTATCCTTCAGAGTCGGTCTGTCCCCTCTTGAGCAGCCCAAAGAAGGTAAATGGTCTCCAGTAATCCAATTTCTCCTGTCCATAACCAATCTTATTAGCAATCACATTTCTCCACTGGCCTTCTACCTCTGTACCTAACCTCCACATCCATTTACTTAAAAGAGCCAAACATAGTTGTCAAGGCAACTAGGCGAGGCTAGGCGACCATGGGGCGCCTAGGTGCCTAAGCGGGCGCCTAGGCGATGGAATCTATAAATATATTAATTTATGGATTTCTATACTTCCTAAAGGACCTAAACTATTTTATAAGATATATTTGCTAACTAGCTACATATTACACTAAGCATAATCAATAAAATCTAAGTATAATTTTCATGTGAAAACATAAAAATTAAACTAGTAAAGTGAGAAAAAAGTCTACTAACATGGCAAGTTCCAAGTTGGCAACACTAAAAAAGTAAACTAGTAGATAGTACCATACCTTTTGGATGATTGAGTGTTGATCTTGAGTATTCTTTTTTCTGCAACTTTGCCTTCAATAAGAAAACAAATTAAAAGAATTAATCAATCAATAAGAAATCAACCTTATCAATCTATCATTAGCAAATGGAAGAAGAAGCACTACAACAAAAATACAAATATTCATAAGAATTCAATACATACCTTGGTTGATGCTTGGTACTTTAAGAAATAATAAGATTAAACTATGAAACTTGAAAGTCATGAAACCATTAAAAAATAAAAAGCATAATAGCATATAATCAATAAGTATAAAACTAAATTATAAATCATCATTCATCTCCAGTTCCCCACAAGTCCACACCACAAAAAATAAATATGAAGACTGAAGTTTAAAACTTCAAATGTATCATAAACAATACAATCCATAAAGAAAATTCTCTATTCCTAATTAATTGGAGTGTCTAATAAGTAAGAACCACCAACACCTCCATTGAATGCACCAACATCATTAGCACCATAATCAACATCTTCATCCTCATCATCATCCCTGTCATCATCATCATCATCTTCTTCAACATCAATATCTTCTTTTTCATCTTCATTATCTTCCATATCATTGTCCCATATCTGCTCTTCTTCTTCTTGAACAACTCTTTTGCCTTTATCTTGTCTTCTAGACTCACCTCTCCCACGACCACCTCTACTTCTACCTCTGCCTCTACTTGGACCTCCACTTGCATTTCCACGCCTATGTCCATTTCTCCTTGGCCTATTTGACCCTTTAAGGATTTTAGATGCCCCTAATGCTTCATCAACTTGAGTCCATGTAAGATCACACCCTTCATGGACCAAGTCATTTGAGGGGTCTTTCCTAGTCAACCACTCACTGGTTTCATCTACATCATCAAAGCAAATAGGGTCAAATTGCTTTGGATTTGCACGCCTTGTTGTAAATCTTTCTCGGAGGCATTGGTTGTATTGAACAAATACAAGATCATTGAGCCTCTTTTGATCATGCCTATTCCTCTTTTTTGTATGAATCTACATTCACAACAAAATAAGAAAAATTATAAAAATAAGCATCTTAAGTTCTTAACTTTCATAAATAATTTTATCACAAAATCAAACATTAGGTCCATTAGTTAGAACTTACATGCTCAAAAGTGCTCCAGTTGCGCTCACAAGCAGAAGAAGTGCATGTAAGACTTAATATGCATAATGCAATACGCCTAAGGTCTGGGGTGCAATGTCCATAGCTATGCCACCAATCAACTACAAAATAGAAAAAATGAATTAAAGCAATATAAATTTAAAATAACGGGAATAAAATGTAAATATAAGTTTCAAGAAAAGAGAGCTTTAATTACTTGGTTGCTTCGTTTCATGTTGCCTAATTGCCAATTCTTTAGAGAAAGCACCACGAGCGTGCTTATACTCTTCCAACTGATGAGAGGTCTTGTCTTGAATTTCAATATCACTGACCATTCTCTCAATGCAATCTAGAAAGCTCATTTCAAATTTTCCAACCGATGCTTCATCTTGTGCTTTAGCCTTATAATAAAGGGTTGGATTAAGAAAGAAACCAGCAAGGTGCAACGGATGTTGCATCATATTAGTCCAACGCCTATCGAAAATGTCTAAAATTGGCTTATACTCCCCTTCTTTCCCACTAAATGTTTCTTTTATTTTTTCTCTTGCTCGCTCCATTGCATAGTAAAAATAACCCATTGTGGGTTTCTCATCACCATCAATCAATTGTAAAACCTCCACAATCGATTGAGCAGCCAAAAGAGCAACTCTTACATTTTTCCAAAACCCAACAGAAAGCACAGTGCTTGATGCTCTTAGTCCATCTGATTTGTTAACCCATTTACTATTGTTCCACACATCACCAACAAATAAAGCACGCAAGGGCTCCTTGAAAGTATACAAACTTTGTAAAGTTAGAAAAGAGGTAGCAAACCTTGTGACTGCACATCGTACAAGATCTCTTCCATTTGTTTTTTCCCTCATGTGTGCAAGAAGAGGATGCCTATAAATAAAAGCAGTCACTTGTCTTGCCTTGGCAATACAACCTTTTGTAGACCTCAATTCTCCAATGTCTTCCAACATAAGGTCTAGACAATGAGCAACATAAGGAGTCCAAAATAAATTCTTCCTCTTCAATCTTAAAAGATCACCGGCTACAACATAAGCAGAGTGGTTATCAGTAACCACTTGCACCACATGCTCCTCCCCTATCTCCTCAACAACTTTATCAATCAGCTCAAACAGATAACTTGCATCATGGACTTCATTTGATGTATCAACTGATTTTAGAAAAAATGTTCCTTCGAGAGAATTCACAAAAAAATTAATCAAAGATCTTTGCCTTTTATCAGTCCATCCATTAGACATGATGGTACAACCATAAGTCTTCCAAGAAGCCTCATACTCCTTGTACATCAGCTTTGTTTTCTCAACCTCCCCTTTCAAGAGTGGCTCTCGTAACTCGTGGTAACTTGGAGGCTTGTATCCGGACCCGAATTGTGCAATTGCTTCAACCATAACTTCAAAACTTTTCAACTTCACTGTATTGAAAGCAATCCTAGCTTGATAAAACCACTTTGCTACATATTCATGTACTTTTCTTCTTTCTTCCTTCTTCAACGACTTTCAATGCTTGTTTGAACCAATTGTCTTTTATGCTTTGCTTCAACAACTTCTTCTGGACTTGGTCTGACAAAACTATCCATAGGCCCTCTAACATTTTCCTTCCTTTTTGGTGGAAGGGAGGAATTTGAAATTGGAGTGCTCTTACCTCTTGAAATGGAGACACCTTCTATGGGTTGATCACTTTGATTGTTAGAACCCCTTTCAGATACAATCTGCTACCATGCCCCACGATTATCTTCAACTGTAAAATCATCCAATGGTTTCTTCCTCTTATTCTTCTGCATATATTCTTGCATTTCCTTGGCAATACTTTCTGTAGTTTTGGGACATTTAGTCACATCCCCATAACCCCCAATCAAATGTTGTTTTATCCTTTTTATTCCCCCTTTAACAACTTTACCACATAATGAGCATGAAATTGCATTTTTATCTTCTAAATCATGCCAAACTGCATATATGCAAGGTCCTTTGATTGAGCCTTACGCCTAACACTGCCACTTTCCTCTTCAGATGTCATCCTCTATTTCTATTGAAAGAAAACCTAATCAGCAAATAAAATAAACAAAAATGTTATTATGTTAAACTAGAAAATAGTTAACAATTAACAAAGCAAAGCAAGAGATGAAGTTTCAGCCATAATGCCAAAACTACTATTCATCCAAAATAAAAAGAAATAAAAACAAAAGTTACAAAACTGATAAAAAATCAGCCATAAAAAATGCCATATACATATAATCAGCCAAAATAAAAAAATAAAATAGAAAACTGATAAAAAATCATCCATAAATAATGTCATATACATATAATCAGCCAAAATAAAAAAAAGTAAAAACAAAAGTTACAAAACTGATAAAAAATCAGCCATATAATCAACCATATAATCAGCCAAAATAAAAAAAATAAAATAGAAAACTGATAAAAATCAGCCATAACTAGTGCCAATATGCCATATACATATAATCAGCCAAAATAAAAAAAATAAATAAAACAAAAGTTGCAAAACTGATAAAAAATCAGCCATATAATGAGCCATATAATCAGCCAATAAAAAAATAAAATACAAAACTGATAAAAACCAACCATATTATATAATCAGTTAATCACTTAATCAGCCATTGAGCCAAAAAAAAAAATAAAAAACAAAACTGATAAAAAAATCACTAAATCAACCATATAATCAACCAATCAACCATTATAATCAGCCATTTAAGATTTTCAAAATAAAGCATTTCACACTCATACATAACTCAGATAATCAGATTTTCAATTCAGCAAAGCCAATCAGCATAGTAGCATACAATCAAATTCAAAATAAAACATTTCAAAAAAAAAAAAAAACAAAAGAATGGATTATTAGATTCAAGAACTCAAAGGGGCAGACGACTGTTGGACTGAGTCAGAATGGAAGAAGAAGAAGAAGAAAAAGAAGAGTGGAGAGAGTACTGAGTGAGAGGACAGAGGAGTATAGGGGCAGAGCCCCTGTTTTTGACTTTTTTTGAAAAAAAAGGAAAAGAGAGTTTGGCAGAAGAAGAAGAAGAAGAAGAAGAAGAAGAAGAGGTCTGCTGTACGGCTGTGGAGTGTGGACTGGTTTTCTCGAAAAAAAAAGGAAAAGAAGAAGAAGAAAATTGAAGAGTGAAGTAAGAAACTTGCTGCTGCCGGAGCTGAGGTGAGGTGGGCTGGGGCTCGAGCTGGTGTTCGGTTCTCCCCCCTCTCCAATCGAAAAATCCTTTTGAGACAAAGAAAAAAAATATTATTAACTTGTCTTAATACTTAAGAGACAATAGTTAAGTGATAGATTGATAGTGTTATACCAGGTGTATTTTAAAACAATACAACCGCCAATAAAATTGCAAAACAATAAATTAAATTATAAAATAATTTTATTGTAAGTAAATAGGCGCCTGCCTAAGTCTCTGGGCGGGCGCCTAGTATGTAAAACTTGGGGCGTCTGGGCGAGGCGACCATGAAAAACCGCCTAGTCGCCTAGGTGTTGCCTAGGCGTCGCCTGGACAACTATGGAGCCAAATTAAATTATTTGAATTTCCTTGTACCCAAACCCCCTTCACTTTTAGGTAAACAGATTTGGTCCCAGTTCACAACATGCATCTTCTTCTTTTCTTGCTAACCATGCTACAAAAAATCCCTTTGAAGTTTTTTTAATGCTTCTAGTCACTTTTGCAGGAATTGGGAGCAGAGATAAATAATATATTGGCAGATAAGAGTACTCTGCCTCCCTTGGTCAAATATTTAGCCTTCCAAAGAGCCAATTTGTTCTCCATTCTCTCCAAAACTGGTGTATGTAGCTGTACACTTAGCACCTAATGGTAGACCCAGATATATTATTGGGAGTGTAACATTTCTGCTGACACATCCACCTCCTCCACCCACCCAACTGGAATAAGTGAAGTCTTCCCTAAATTAACCCTCAACCTTGTCACAACTTCAAACCGGATCAACATTCCCCTTAAAATTTTTAGCTGCTCTCCATTGGCACCCAAAAAAGAAATGCATCATATGCAAAACGAAGAACCTGGACCCTTTCATCATGCAAGCCCATTGTGAAACCTTCCAACAGGTCTTCAGCTGCCACCTTAACAAATTGAGTTAGAGTTTCCATATTACACAATAGGATAGGTGACAGGGGATCATCCTGTCTGATACTTTTTGAGCTTTTAATGAAACCTGCTGCTTGACCATTCACCGATACTGAGAGTTATTTTTTGAGTAATGGAAAAATCTTGTATTCATTTATAAACTGGACCCATGTACAACATGCACAGTGAGTCACTATACAAAAACAGCTAGGTTCCTATGACAAAAGGTCTGAACAATTTCAGGAGAACAAAATATCAGAATAAAAAAAAGATTGATGGGGGATATTCTTGAACAGATCCTGCCAGAAAAGAGTGAACTGTCCCCAAAACACTTCTAGTGACTCCCTCGACCAAACAGCTCTAGCCCTCAAATGCTCTCTGATTTCTTTCACTCCAAATGCACCATGAAACTGCAACGAGGATGGAGCTTCGCAACCTTAAAGATCTTGGTTGACATCAATTGAGGTTTAGAATTTTCAAGAAATGATTATAGACCCCCTTGTCAGACTAGAATGGAGAAACTAATGATCTACAGTCTCAAATCTCAATATCCTTGCTACATAAAACACAGTTGTAAGACTACAAACTTACACCTCTTCTTTGCAGGTTATCTCTGGTTAGACATTTTCCAGAACAGCAGTCTAAATTAGTAGTTTTTTTTTTGTTTTTATTATTTCATTTTTAGTTAAGAATTATTTCAGGTTGGTGATCTAGGCACATCCCATTTTTGACAAACAAGGCAAGGTCCTAATTAGTAGTTAAAAAGTATTCATGAGTACTATTAAAAATAAGGTTTGCCTTTTGTCTTTTAATGCAGGTTGTACCCAAATCAATGTTTTTGTTATATTCTATTTAACTAATAATGAATTAAATGATCTTTAGAACTTAATCAGTTAAAATTATTTGTTTTGTTTTTGTGTCAAGGGAATCCACCGGAAAGCAGTGATTTGAAGAAACATGACAGTGTTACCACACTAGGTAAGGTTGAAGCAGATGATATACCAAACACTTCATTGGTCAGTGAACATTGTCAGGGCAGAATTTCAGATGATAATCCTTCTGCATCTTCAACAGTTCAGGTTTCTTTGGCTGATGAGCAGGTCCCCTGCTCTTTCACTCCTGGTGAAAACACTGGTTCTGGTATATAACAAGTATCTCTATTCCCACTTATTTTCCAATTCCTCTCCTCCCCCACCCCAAGAAAAAGGAAGTATTATTCATGCTCATTTAGTTATTATAGGCAAGGGCTTCATTTGTATTTTAGACAGGGAAGCACATTATTTACCAGAAGGGAATTCTCAAATCAGCACCTTTATTTGATTCAGTTATAATTAAAACTGGTTTTGATGAATTTTTTAATAACTGGGTAAATAACAATTGTAAATTTATTTGTGTATTCGTTTTATCCGTTTTGAATACAGGGGAAACGGATAATTTGAAGAAACATGACAGTACTACTGGACTTGGTCAAATTAAAACAGATGATCTGCCAAATGTTGCCCAATCTCCGACTGTTAAGATTCCTCAGCCAGATGAGCTTGTCCCTGATCCCAGTATTAATGGTTCAAGTGCTATTGCTGGTATTTAACAAATTTCTCTACCACCTTTTCTTTGTTTTTTTTTTAAATATTTTCAAATATCTCCCTTGTAATGTTTGGTTCTATTTATTTTTGATTGAATTATTAATTTGGAGGTACAGCTCATTTGTTGAGAAACCAGTCAAATCCCTAATAAATGGTGAAAATTTGCACTCTTGGATAGGAAAAAAAATCATCTTTATATACTAATATTGTTTATTATAAATAGGCATTTTTTTCCTTTCAATGGGGATGTGCTCAAGTCAGTTTGAAACTTGAATTCAATGTGTGTTAGCTAAAAGCAATATTTTTTATGGACAACGGATACACACGATGCAGAATTCTGAATTCCAGCCCCCCCCCCCACCACTAGCTCTCTCCCCCCTATAGACCACATCCTGCCCGTGAATTTGGCATCAATTCACGGTCAGGATGCATTCCCCCTGTACTTTGGGGCTATAAAATTCTGAACTGGGCTGATTGGTCATTCTCCCTATTTTTTATTGTGTGGTTGTTTTGTTTTTGAATCCAGGTGAAATTGATGCTTTGAAGAAACATGACAATTCCACTGGAATGAGTCAAGGCAAAATCTCAGACGAAAATAATCTTCCTCCAGCTTTTACTGTTGAGGTTATTGAGGCAGATAAGCAGGTCCCCAGTCTTAACGTTCATGGTGCAAATGCTGATGCTGGTATTTTATATGTTACTCTACCCACTGTTTTTCATTGTTTTTTTTTCTATTTTTATTTTTTCCAAACGTACCTCCACTTTCTCAATATACTAGGAGGAATTTTCCTATAGTCATAGATTTGCATGGTTTTGTGCCCCATTCATAAAAAGGAGATATGCTTAAGTCAAAATCCCTATTTATTCTATTTAATTAAATCTGAATTTAGTATATTTTTGATACTTAACTTTTTTTGTATCTATTTGTTATTGTTTGTTTTGTTTTGGTATCCAGGGAATCGAGAGGAAACTGATAATTTGAAGAAACATGACACTGCAACAGGGATGAGCCAGGTTGAAGCAAATAGTTTACCGAGCACAGACTTGGCTACTGGTTTCAGTCAGGGAAAATCTCCAGATCCTGTTCCATCTTTAACGACCCAGATTATCTATCCTGATGAGCAGGTTCCTCCTTCAAGTACTTATGTGGCAAGTGTTGATGTTGGTGCTTCCATGAATCCAGGGGATACTGTGGACTTAAAGAAACATGACAGCTCTACCACACTTGGTCAAAATGAAGCAATTGATCTGCCAAATACTGCCTTCACTCTATCCACATCTGGTCAGATTTCTCAATTAGAAGAGCAGGTTCCCTGTCCTTTGAGCACCCATGTTGCAACTTCAGATGCTGTAGTTTCCATGAATTCAGAGAATCTAGAAATTGGAGATCACTCAGAAGAACCCATCAATAATAGCATTCCTAGTAAGAATGAAGTGACAAAAGATGAGCAGAACACCTGTCCTTCAATGTCTCATGATACTGGTCCTAGTAATGTACTTCTCATTGATTCAGAGAGTCCAGACAAAAGAGATCATTTTGAGAAGCCTAATGTAACTTGCGTACCTGGTCAGAGTGAATCATCAGATCTACCTGATACTGCAAATGCTACTTCCTTATCTGCCCAGGATCCTCAACCAGATCAGAAGATTCTCAGAGTTGGGACCTGTATTGCTGATGCTGAAGGTTCAGTGACTTCAGAGCAAGCACATGGTTCTACTGGAGTAGGTAGCTCTATAGGCCAGTGTGGGTACACAGTTCCATATTGTGCAGATGATGTTGCCTTGCATGCGGTTTCAGCTGATAACAAGTTGGATGACAATGCTCTTCATTCTACTAAAGTCAATAATGAAGTTATTCAAGATCTTGCAAACCCCACTGTTGCTGGTCAAGGTGAAGATATTCTTGATGTGGCATTACCTGACCATAATACTAATGCAAATACCAATAACTTTCATGGGCATACTTCGGGACTTACTGATAGAACTGAAGTCTGTTCTGAAAAAGCTGATGGCACTGGAGATCATCCTGGCATTGTGCCAACTAGATTTGCTTCTGCACAGTGTAATGATATTGATGACCGGAATTTGGAAACCCCATGTGCTACACGTGAAGATGAGACTCATGTTTCAGTGGATGTGAATCCTGATGCCATAGTTGGAAGTGCTAAGGACACTAACAAAGTATATTCCTTGGAAACACAAGCATCTGCTGATCAAGATCCTCCAGATCTTAGCAAGCATCATGAAGCTGTGGATGTGCAGAACAACTCCGTAGCTGAGGATGGCCAAATTGGTCATTCACAGACCAGTGGTTTAGAGGAAGAAAAAGAATCAACTGTCAGTAAAACAGATGAGTGTGACCCAATGAATGTAGACAACTTAGCTGTAGTTCAGGAAAATGAAACACCAGCCGTTTCTAAGGCTGAGAATGAAGATCTGCTGGATGCTTCTCTCAATAGTGTAGTGAATGAAAAAGAAGCTCCGGTGTTACATCTGGAGTCCTCATCTTCTTTGCCAGGACTGGAAGATGACAAGATGGCTAATATGTCTGAAAAGATTGATATGATGGATGCTTCCCAAATTACTGGAATTGAAGAAAAAGAAGCACAAGCTGTTTCTAAAGATGACAAAGAAGATAAGATGGATGCTTCTCTCACTAGTGGAGTGGATGAAAAAGAAGCTCCAGCATCAGACATGGAGTCCAAATTTCCAGGAGTGGAAGATGAGAAGATGGATGGCATGTGTGAGAAGGCTGATCCAATTCCAATGGATACTTGCTCGATTATTGGAATTAAGGAACAAGAAGCACCAGATATTTCTAAAGATGACAATAGTGACCAGATAAGTAGAATGAATGGAAATGAAGCAGCGGTGGTTTCTAAAGATGACGAGGGAGATAAGTTGGATTCTTCTTTGGATAGTAGAATGGATGTAAAAGCACTAGATGTTTCTAAAGATGACAAGAATGATCAGATGGACGCTTTTCTGGATGGTGCAATGGATGAAAAAGGACGGGCTTCAAACACGGATCCATCCTTATCTCCTTTACCATCCATTGAAGACGAGAAGATTGATGGCACGTCTGAGAATGTTAAAATCGAAAGTTCAGGAGTCTTGGCAGGGTCTGAATAGAACCAGGCAGAGGGGAATATCTGAAGCATGCTGTGTAAATGACATGGTCGACCCATTTTAGTTTTTTCTTCAGATGGGTCAGGTGAAGCTCGGTGTCAATATTTCTAGTTGAACCTCCTATTTTCTGCAAGCAGGAAAGCGAATTCATCCTTCCAGTTTCATATACGATACTTAAACTTGTATATAATTTACATAATTTTTGGGTATCAATCAGAATCTCTCTATATAACGTGAGTTTGTGCAACTGTAACATGGGTGCGTTGTGTCATGTGTGTATGGTGACATTTTTACATTCCATGGGGCTACACAACCGGGGGTGGGGGTAGCCAGGGATAGGGGTGTCAATGGACCGGTTTTGGGTTGGATTCCATTTCCATCCAAATGAAAATCAATTTGGACGGATTGGGTGGACCGATAAGACACATTATATTGGACAAGTCTAAACTTAATGATCCAAAGTATTAATCGGATTGGATTGGACCTGGTCCATCCATAATAGATTTATATTATATTGGGTTGAATTGAACGAATATCTGGTCCATTGATGGAATATAAGAATAAAGGTGTCAATGGGTGTCAATGGACCAGGTTGAATACAAATACAAAGACCAGGTTTGATGGGAAACAATCTAAATTAAAATCAGTTTGAAGGTCAGACCATGAGACGTTGAATTGGACTGGTCCAAAATGATCCAAAGCAGCCATCATATTGGGTTGGACTTGGTCCATCTACAATGGACTCGTATTGGATCAGATTGGACTGGACCAAATGTGGTCCAATTGATACCCCTAGTCAGGGATGATCATTTATGACTGGCCTGGCTCGGCCTGCAAATTTCCAGCTTAGCAGGTCCGGCCAGACCCAGAAATATATATATATATATTGTAACATTTATATACTTATAATCTCTTACATATATGGTATATAGTATAATATTTTACAATATATGGCATAAGTATGGCATGTTTATGTGGCATATCTATGTATACATGGTATGGTGGCATATGCATATGTGGTATTTATGATATTTTACCAAATATACGTGGCATGTATATATGCTATTATATACTAATATAACACAACCGGGTCAGGACTACCTTATTGACATTAATTCATTTAACTGATTATAACGGTTTTGATTCCATGATTTTGTCCCGATTAATAATTAGGTTGGTTCCAGGATTTTATATTTAATTAAATATATAATATTTTCTTAATCTTATTATAATTTTTTGTCATATCTTATGCTTGAATTGTGAAATGGCAAATTTGAGATAATAAATAAGATTATATTAATAAAAATGTTTAATTTATTAACATGTAAATAATTTAGTATTTTTCTATCATTTCCATAAAGGTCATATTATCAAAATTTAAATTTCAGTTATTATTTAAATAAACAAATATAGTTTTCACTGTAATCCGGTCTGGACCCGATAGATTCGATTATTAATCGGGGTAATTTTGTATATGTGTTTTTGCCTTTTAATAATCGGTTTGGAACTGGTTCTACCTAGACCCAATCTAGACTTGATCTGTTACCTTGTAAAAATCCAGCCTGGCCTGACCCATGATCATCCCTTGGGGTAGCCAATCCTCCAAACCCTTAACCCCTAATCCTAGTGCAGATGGGATTCAATACCGAGTCTCCACTACAACCAGCAAGGTAGTCCCCTGTTTTTGCACATAAAATGCAATGAACAAATAGATTTTCCTTAAAGGGGAGTTGCCTAGCTGTGGCTGATGTAGCAGCGTTTTTAGGAGAAACAGCTACGGAACTAAACACCTAGGTTGTGTTTGGTACCATTGCTGTTTTTACCTGAAACATTTTGGGTAGAGTCAATGGGTTAGGTCTAGGTAGAATCAGAACCGATCTGACAAGAAATACTAAGGACCCGGAACCGAACTAATTGGGTCTGACCAGATGGACTTGATTATAATAAACCTACTAAAAATATTATATATAATATTAATTCATTTAATATATATAATTATATTATATACATATATATATTTTAATATATTATATATAAATTAAATATGTATTATACATTTCATATATATATATATATATATATATATATATATATATATAGGTCGGGTTGGATCTGAATTGGTTTGGGATTGGGTGGAACCGGTTCCGAACTGATAAGAATTGGGACAATATATAAGAAACCGAAATTGACCCACCGGTTCCAGTTCCTAGAACCAGAGCCGACCTAATCGTTTTGGGTCCATTGAGTCTAACCCAACCCATTAGCCCTAATTTTGTGTTGATCAATATAGATTGGAATGCAATTGTTATTTGAGGCTATTTATAGTTAAAATAGGCATACCTTAAAAATACATATACGAGTGTTAACCCGAAACATTTCAGGTAGAAACACCAAACACAACCTTATCTCAACTGGCTTCCTCCTTCCTCTCTTTCTTCCTTTTAACGTCACTGTTCTCTTGAGAGGCTTTGTTCGTCCAATTTAGCAACCAACTAGACCGAAATCAAAACTGACAGCACCAAAGCCTTCTCTGTGAACTGGTTGGTATGGGCATTTTTGCTCAAAACAACAGAAATTTTTTTTCCTGCTTTAGAAATGCCATAGAAAGGGTTTCATCAGTTCGAGATTTCGGATCGATGGAATATCTGATGTTATTGAATATAGAAAGTATAGCATATTAGGAAAACCACCTACCATTCACAAATTGCTTCTGTTAGGCGAATGGTATTAGACAAATTATCATTACATTCACCTTAACAGGTAAATTCTCTAGTAGTGATCTTGTGGAGGTCGCTTGTTTTAAAAAATCGAGATTTCTGGTTTCGACGTTCTTGCCAAACAGCTCTTGTTCACATCTAAAAAAAAAAAAACAAAACTGTCGAAATCTTTGTTTGGGAATTGGATGTTCTTTTGATCATTTACTAAATAGATTAGTTCTCTGAGGATATGAGAATGAGCCCCCATCTTAGGGGGTTATGAAGCTATTCTCTCTTCTCTCTTTCTACATCTCCTTTACAATACTACATTTCCTGCATACACTCAAGCAGTGATCTGTTCTTGTTATCTCACTAAATACTGTTATTATCTTTTTCATGAGAAATTAGTAGAATTTAAAGGGTAAATATTTCATTTTCTTCTCTTTTAAATTAGAGATCAAAGAACTACATTTTTTTTTTTACTGCAAGGGTGTAACCAATCCTCAATTCAGGTGCAAGCGGAGTTCGATCCCAAGCTACGTCCAGCCCAATGTGATTCCATTACAAATGGATCAGGCCCAATCTAATCCAATGAATATTTTGGACCAGTTTAATTCAATGTTTGGATCATCCAATCTGTTCAGTTTTGTTTTAATTTAGATTGGTTTCAATCCAAACCCGGTTCATTGACACCTATGTTCTTATCTTATACCAATGGACCAGATATTGGTTTAATCCAACTCAATCCAATATAAATTTATTATAGATGAACCATGTCCAATCCAATATAATAAATATTTTGGACTGGATAGGTCCAATCCAATATGTCTTATTGGTCCGTCCAATCCATTCAAATTGATTTTGGATTGGACCCATCCAGTCCAAAACCGGTCCATTGACACCCTTACCTTATCCCCTCTATTAACTTTCCTGTTGAAAATAGATTTTGTTGATGCACGGATGCACCCTTGCTTCAGGTTGTATTTCTTTTAAATATTGGCTAGATGCTGAATCATATTTGCCCATGCCTCTATTTTTTCAAAATGCTCAATTTAGGCCCATGCGAATTCTTGGGAACTTTGACATCTTATTCTTGTAATAACTTCCATGCAATATCCACACAGATTTTGTTTAGCAGGTTGGTAAGGTTTCCTGTTAATCGTAGTAGAGACTTGTGATGAATCCTGCCTGCATCTAGATTGGGGGGGGGGGGGTGTTATGAGTTTTGGGATGGGTTACCCATTGTTTAACCCTTTAAAAGAAATAAAAAAAAAAAGAACTGAAGTATTTCTTGGGTGTAGTTTACAACATCCACTCAAATTTGTTTTTGTGGATATTTTCTATTTGAATATTTCTCATATGATGTTTGAATATGTTTTCTGGTGGGACATTCGTTCCAAATCACTATAGCTCAAATGAATATTTTCTGATGAAATGGATCAACCTAACAGTTGTCCAAGTGTCTCTCCAGTCAAAGTAGATGATATTATCAAACAATTTATGCTATTAGGTGAGGTTTTTGAATAGATTTTTGTTCTCTAACACACCCCCTAACTCACATAAAAGTCCATTAGGTTTGAAGCGTGGACAATCACAGGCCTACTTACACCCTATACTGAAATTTAATTAATTATAATGTAGGTGACAAAGATCGAACATTAGATCACTTGGTTGAATAGGCTCTAATACCATTTCAAAGAACAACTCAACTTAAAAGTTTAAGTGGTGAAATCCTTGAATAGGTTTTTATTCTCTAACAGTTTTATCATTACTTCAATTATAAGAGTTAATTAGTTTTACTACAAAACTATCTTATCAATTGGGTACTTTCCTCTTGGATTTCTCTTGCCTATGTCCCCCTATTTATTAAATAAAGTATTTGCTTGCTTCTGTTTTTTTTTTTTTTCTTTTTTCCTTTTGATTTTTCTGGAGTTGTCAAACATCTCTTTTTCTGAGACATGTTCAGCAACTTGGAAACTGGTTGCTTGCTAATGCACACACAAACAGCAGCTAAAACCTCTAATACTCCCCTCATTCAATATATCATTGTCCCTTCCCTGTCCCTTAAGAATGCTGCTTCTATTTTTAGTATTTGTTTCTTTACTTCTTGAAATATTGAGGGAAATTTCTAAAATTGCTAAGTTTGGTGAAATGATCTGTTTACAATACTTATCTGTTTTCATTTTGCAAAAAAAAAAAAAGAAAAGTAAAAAATAAACATAATTGAATATAAGTTTTTTCCAAAATAAAGTGAAAATATTTTCAGTTTGATTTTCAGATCATCCAATCGGATTCTCTATCAGAATATTTTATATTTTTTTGGTGAATTGAATATTTTATACTTTATGAAACATATCACCAGAGAAAAATAAGTTTTTAAACCAGTTCAGTACCATGTTTTTAGATGCTCTGTTTGTTTGCAATGCAAATCTGAATCAGATATAAAATTTACACCTGATTCATTGTGTTTTGCACTTGTAAGATACAAGGTTAATACTTTTTGTCTCATTAGCAGTGCAAATTTTGCATCTAAAAAATTGATACAAAATTT